TAAAAAGAGGGGGGGGGGGGGGGGGGGGGGGGGTATATCTCCACCCTGCTGGGTTTTTTGCAGATCTTTTTTTTTTTTTGCGGTGAAGCGTGGAGAGTCTTGTTGTGCTCTCTCTCTCTCTCTCTCAATCTCTTAGGGTGGGGGGGGTGCTCTGTTTAGTTGTTTTGAGAGATTGGATGAGGGACTCGCCCACATCAGGGCGTGTTCTTTTTTTTGTCTCTGGTCGGCTGGCTGATTGCTGCTGTTGTTGCTGTGGCGTTCATTCATCCGTTTTCGTGATTCCGGTTGCATCGCTGTCGCGCACAGGCTCCTGGGTGAGGTTTTGCTCGAAAGTTATGTGCTTTGGTGAAGAGATTTTTTGGACGGGACAGGGTAGGTCACGCTGTTGCTTTTTGTGTTGTTGTTTCTGTGATCTTTGCCCGAAGAAGGCGATTGTCGGAGGTCCCTCCTCTTCAAAATTGCGGTGGAACATACCACAACGGAACACGATGATTGCGGTCGAGCATCTACATCTACGAAGGTGTTGACCGGATGAGATTTTGCAGCACGTCGTTATTCAGCGGAAGGCATTCCGGCTCCTGCTTTGATGCACGGGTGCTTTGCCTACGCATCTGCTTGTGGGGCACACGCGCGATTTCGGGGCGAAACTGTATCAGCTATTTTCTACCAAGTTTGTGCTCATTCCACGGAAATACTTTGTGGCTACGTGGTGGATATTTTTTATGGAGAGGAGGAGTGTTGTCCTTGCAAGAGCTGGCTCCTCAAATGTAGAACTTGTTTGCTTTTGATTTCAGGTGTTTCAACGGTCGGTTAGGGGTGCGGTGTAGTGAAGATATCATTGATGGGGGGGATTCAGCCGTCGCATGGCTGAACCCTTGGGTACAGGACAATAATTCCAGGGTAAATGTACGAGTTTTTCTTTTTTATATATGTTTTGTCCCAATCGTCGTCTTCCTTTTGATGGAACGATGGATTGAGGGAGGGAGGGAGGGAGTTGGTTGCTGGTAGTAAGGATGCGGCTTAATTGTGTAGGGCAGCCTGATAGGCTCAGGTTGCACCGTACAGGAAACCTTCGAGGTACAGGTAACTGCGCTTGTATGTGTCACTTGGTGTAACGGGAATGTTGAAGAGCTGGAATTGGAGAGTCGTAAAATGTAAGGGTTTGTTGGTGAAAATGGCGAGAGTTTTAGATGAAACACCGTTTTTCTAGAGTGGTCGTTGGACGTCCATAGCGCAGAAAAATTCAGACATCGTCATATCTATGCATACTTCTTTCTCAAATATTGATGTTTCTCCGAATCTGAAGAACCTTTGGAAGGTTCGGAGACTATTTGCTTCTTCATTCGTTTTTTTTTTTACCTACCGCCGTTTCTTCGGCGCTTTGTAGGTGGTGAGGAGATGCACCAAGAGGGGCATAAAAAATGCGGCCGTTATCGTTCGGCTGCTGCACACGTTTCCTCGTTTCTCGGGCGCGGGAGCCTCGTGTCACACAAGTCACACGGCCCTTCAGGCGTTGTTCGGAGTCGTGACTGGGCGGCGCGCAATGGTCGAGTTTCCCTCTAGAGAAGAAATATCGATCGGCTTGGCGCCCTGACACCGGGTGATGATGCATACTGCGAAACCGTGAATAAAAGTAATAGTTGTCTGACCCGGGCGCCAATCTGCATCCTCAAGTGTCGTGTTTGACTCTATGGACGATGGCGTATTAATAGCGTAGCTGCGCTAGATAGACTAAATTGTAGTTACCGTAAACTACGGAGTTTTCCCCCCGGGGAGGGGATCATTTTTTTTTTCTGAAACCAAACCCCCCGGGGGAAAATTGACGTACCGCGGGGGGTTAGTTTTTTTTTTTTTCCAACGCTACCCCGGGGGGAAGCCCCCCCCCCGGGGGGTTGTGCAAAATAATGATGGTCATCATACACACAGAGAGTGGCGAAACTGAAATGGATAAGGTTTACGAGCAAGGTTTCAACAAGCAGAGGGAGGAGGAACGTAAGAGCAACGAAGGCGAAAAGAAAAAAGATAGCAAGAGGTACCATTGGCTAAGCTCATGCACAAGAATTCGCAGTTTGTCCTCAGGAAAAGCAGCTATTTTTTATGGTTCGGTTCTACCTTGAGTTGTGAGATCCAAAAACAAATACGATTAATGTTTTCCCTTTCTGCGCAAGGTTTTGTCAGCATGCTATGGTACGTTTCAGCTAACTCCAGGGATGATAAATGCAAGAAATAGACAAGAAAACGAAAGCATTTCACCCATAAAACAACGGCGAGGGCCAAGTGACAAACGGTACACCTAAATCTCGCTCGAAGCGCAGATATGCAAATAAATTTTCCCTCCCATGCCATGCTTTTGTACTCCGCGATGCAACAAAATCGACTCAGAAAATAAGGGAAATACATGCCCCCCAGAGGGAACTCGTGGGAAAACTGGTACCCCGGGGGGAAATTGACATACCCAGTTTTTTTTTTTTTTTTGTCGAAAACGATCTACCCCGGGGCTAAATCAACGAAACCATGCTTCCAAGCCGAAAAGGTAATGGGGCGGGGGGGAATTCTACTACAGTAAATAGGGGGGAGGAACTCCGTAGTTTACGGTATCTTCCATAGGTTTGACTCGCTCGCCAGCCGTCGAATACAGAAAATATTTATTTTCAGTGATGTTGCGCCTTCTTCGTGGAGTGGGGAGGCAACGGATTCGCCCCAAGAACAACTCGGTGCTGACCACCTGTTTTTTCGGTTCAGGGGTTGTGTTGACAACCGTTTGCTTGTTTCCTCCACCAAAAGTGGCCCTGTCGCTTCGAGACCCAGCAGCCTCCATGTATTTTTCTTCGTTGGGAGTAGATCTCTCTCTCTCTCTCTCTCTCTCTCTCTCTCTCTCTCTCTCTATCGATTGATGCATATGTCTGTCTCTTTTAGGCGAGGCACACCGGCAATCTTTTTCGCATACATACGAAGTCGTTGGTACCGCAAAACGGTGTAGCACCTTCTCTACATCCCCCCGGAATCACTCGGGCAACAAGTACTCCAAGATAGGATCACGACGCGTTTGTTTGCCGACGTTACAAAAGGAAATCACATTACTGTACATCCACAACCCCCTCGGGCTACCTGCCCCACCAACTGATCGCTTGACTCGGCCGGCCGCGAGCACTGCACCCCAGCGTCAGCCGAGTGCCGTTTCTTCTGGGCAGCCGCGTTCGTCGAGCCCAAGAGGGTGCTACCGCTACTACTCCGACGGACGTTCTTGGCGAAGTTTATTCCGCCACCATCACCATTACTGCAGGCTGTCGCTGTCGAAGCCCCCTCGCGTCCCGCAACGATGCTCGCTTCCTCCGCTGGTGGGCGAGTTTTCGTGTTGACCAAGTCGATGGGAGCGACTCGATTCTTCTTCTTGTTCTTGTTGTTTCTGGACCGAAGGTCACCGCTGCCGTCAGGGGGACCTGCATCGCCGCCGCTGCCACCAGCAACACGGTGGCGGCGTGGTGCAACAACATTGCCGTCTTTAGCAAAACTTCCGGCATCCTCCGAACGGCGAAAGGACGCGCTCTCCCGGCCGTTCCCCGTCCCCTTGCCTCCTGCCTCGTCACCGCTGCTCATTCCGGCGGGAAAGTCGACTTGCGTTCCCCCAAGACTATGGTTCCCGCCCCCGCCTTCCACGCGACCGGCCTCCCCCAAGGGGAACACCGAAAGAGTTTCCTCCAACTCGTCCTTGGCGGGGTGACCAGCTGACCCTTCTAGTCCGTCTTCGAAAATGCCTCCACCACCTGGTACTACCTCCGTGTCGTTGTTGGAGCCTCTGCTTCTTCCGTCTCGAGCCTCCCTGGGAGGACTAGAGTGCCCAGCTGGATCGGGGTCCCTCTGTCCGATGATGCCAGGACCACTCCCGGTGGGATCTTGGCTTCCGAGTTGGGTCCCCTTGCTCTTCGGGCTCCTTGCCCGCGGGCTGCTGGTGCTAGTGCCTACCATATTGGAGGTGGCTCTAGGGCTCGTGGTAGGGCTAGTCCCGACCGCGACGCTCTTTGTCTCGTCGCCGATCTTGGGCTCTTGAGTGCTCGGCGTCCTTTTGCCTGTCGGGCTTCTTTCCCCGACGCCGACGCTCTTATTTGAGGGGCTATGCTCGACCCCGTCCTCCTCCTCCTCCGTGGCGCCGTTGGATGCCGTTGCCATCACCGCAGCCTCCTTGCCGTCCCCCGCCCCAGCCATGCCGCCCTCGACACCGCCTGCTGGCTCGGGACCATGTCCTCCTTGGCTCGTTTCGGACCCCCCTACTACTGCCGTAGCCTCTGCTTCTTCGGCCGTCGCCGTCGCAGGCTCTTCCTCGCGGCCGTCGTTCCGTTTCAACGCCGCGGGGGTCCACGGCAGCGAGCATGGGAACGCGATGGCTTCGGATGCCGACGACGAGGCTGCCCGTCGCCCCTTGCGCAGGCGCGGGGGGGATGACCCCGTACCCTTGTTGGGTGAGCTCGCGGCGGTAAGGAAGGGAGGGTTGCCCCCGGGGGACGACGACGGCGACCCAAAGGTTCTGGTGTGGACGAGTTGTGCGTGCCTTGCTGCCATAGCGAGCGCGGTCTCTCGCCTCCCGGGGTCCAGCGAGAGGAGGTCCGGCAAGGCGGAGCATACCGTCCCGGCACAAGTCGGTGCGCCGTCCTCTCTTGTTTGGGATTGTTCGCGGTTTCCCTGCTAGGAAATCGACGGAGGGAGGATCACCGAGGGAGGGGACACGGAGGAAATAGTCGGTGGCGGATTGGCTTGTTGCCAACGACAAAAGCTTCTCGGTGGTGACTGCAGGCGGGAGGTAGGGACGGCATCAACACCCTTTCACCGCTCGCTGTGGTAAATCACATGCTTTGGGGTTGTAGGTTTAGCGGCTGCGCTGTGGGAGGATATCTCTGATGGTGTCGTTAAAATCTTCCACGGACACACAAACGGGGAAGGCTGATCCAAAGTCTCACGCCGCCATCGCGTGAGATTTTTTTGCGTTCCACCACGGAGTGACCTTAAACAGACGACCTATCCGTTTCACGATGCTTTTTGTGTTCCTCCCCCCCCCGGTGTCCCGTGAACCATCACCAACGCGCCCCCCTTACCAGCATCGCTATTGCCTACACCCCTACCCTTCGACAACACCACGACGCCCCCTTCCCAGTGGTGGGAGCACTGACATGGGCCGGAGCAGGACTCTCGTAGTCGATGTCGACCTCGTCTCCACCCCACGTGCTCTGCACTTGGGCTCCCGGCACGTAGTCTTCCCGCCCGGTTAGCAGCCAATAGATGGTCGTGCCCAGACCCCACGCGTCGTCGGCCATCTTGGCGGGGCACGGGACGTCGTCAAGCGCCGCTTGGATCCGCTCGGGGGAGGCGTGAGCCTTGTCAAACGGCTGACACAGTGGAAAGTTGTGGGTCACCGGCTTCGATGTTTTGTGGGGCGACGGACGGGGGGACGCGAAGGTACAAGTAAGGATGATAGACGTTGGCCAGAGGTAATGGTCATGGGGTGTCCGTTTTTTTCAGCCAACCCCTGCTGGTTAGTGCGCAGGAGGGGAGGGGGGAGGAAGGCAATAACTCGTTTTGGTTGCTGATTCTGCCGTCGAACCGTCGACTTCGTGCATCCTTGTTCAGGACGAGGGAGTTCCTTTCTTGATCGAGCGTTTTTTCCCGACACGTTTGCTGCGCTACCATCTCTCCGGAGAGACAGATGTTGACGCAATAATAATGGTTGACAGTACTTATTCATGAGGCGAGGATGTCCATTCGCGACGCGCATGGTGGACACAGCCCTAACATAGCCAAAGTTTCGACGAGCAAGTGTGCTTCGATTTTGCCGTTCGCCGCGGGGATCCGCGTCCACCTGCTCTCTCTCAGGTGAAGCCCAAGAAAACAAACCGCATCATCATCAGCGACTGAGGCGACACGAAGCCGCGGCGGGTGTTTACCTCCAGGAGAGGGTGTCGCGGGCAACCCCCCGCCGCGTCCGGCCGCCGAGCGGCCGAGCGGCCGGCGACGAGGCGGAGCTCGCTCTCGCCCCCCCCGCCGCTGCAGCCGCCGCCGCCGCCGCCGCCGCCGCCGCCGCCTTGCCCCCGTGAGGGCGAACGGAGGGGGCTGTGGCCCTTGTCGCTGTGGCGGCCACCGCTGGCGCTGCTGCTACAGGTACCACCACCACCGCCACTGAGGAGGATGAAGTTGTCAGGGGTGACGTCTCCGGAGATGAGGCCGTGGTGGTGGAGCCAACCGACGGCGCGGCAGGCCTGGGTGGCCAACGACTCCACCTACTTCAGCCAAGGGAAATGAACGGATGTAAGTAGATGAGTCCCTTGGGGGGGGGTGTACTCATTGTCGTGCATGCCGTAGTCGTTAGACCATTGACCTCGCATCCCTACAAAGCGGGAACGGAGCACGCGGGGTTTTCCCGGGACCGGGTTCTCACATCCCCAGGCGCGGGGGGGGGGGGGGCGGTACTCATAGTCGTGCATGCCGTGGTCGTTAGACCATTGACCTCGCATCCCTACAAAGCCGGGACGGAGCACGCCGGGTTCTCACCGGACCAGGCTCTCACATCACCAAGGGCGAAGCGCCGTGAGGTATTCGGCGAGTCGCATGAAGGGTGAGCTGCATCCTGCTAAGGGTGTTCGGCATCTTGTGCTTACTTCCTTGCATACGAATGACAGCTGCGTATGACTTAATTTATTTTCTGGTGCTTTCACTTCCAGAGACAGTTGTAAGCACTGTGTAACTGCCTCGAGGATGCTTGACCATTTTAACACAAAGTCGTGCGATCATCCCCCTTGCGCGGAGTGAGGCTTCTCGACCCCGCACAACATGATCTACTCGACCACCATTCATGGTTACCGCAAAAAAAAAACAGAGGAAAAAAAAAAACGGTAACCTGGTTGCCGAGTTCACGAAGTGACTTGGCTTGTTTTACAACGTCGTTGCCAAGCGACGAAAACCCAACCCCGATGGCAAAACACCGGGGGCGGCGGCTTGTTTTACAACGTCGTTGCCAAGCGACGAAAACCCAACCCCGATGGCAGAACACCGGGGGGGGGCGAGCGGGGGGGGGTTCAGGCGGGTCACACGATCACGTGTGTACGGAGTAGTGGTGGACAGGCATCTCAGCGTAGGTCCGGGAAACGAATTGTCGTTGCTGTTCGTCCCGTCTTCTTGCCCGATTTTTCTGCCCCTGTTTCTATAGCTTCCCCTAACCCACAAGCGGCAACTTGGAGCATGAACCGTCAGGCTGCACAACGACGAGCGGGTAATCGACACCAACCGCCCTCGGTGCAACCGTTTCGCAACGAACGTTCGCTTTCAATTGGTGACAGGTCATCATCACCACATCGTTGTTTCGTGCCACACCTGATCGTTAAACACACCGCCGTCGGAAACGCTGTTCTTCTTGCTCCGCCTCTCGCTGTGCATCTGCTGGCCGACCTCCTTGAGAGTCCTTGAGCCCGCCGGTATCGACAAGACCAGGCTCCGCTCCGTCTCGAAGGCGCACACCAGGCCGACGCTCAGCGGCTCCCTACCACCGACCCGGCCTTCTTCCTGGCAGAGAGAGGTTCGTGGTAGTCATACGCACAGTCTACCTCAACTCTGTAAGGGGTTGCACGTTCAGTTACCCAAATTTTTGTCGTTGTCGGGCTCTGATAGCCAAAAGTTCCCCCCAGACTACCGACGAGGGAATTCCCGAAGTATACTTTCTTTGTGTTGGACATGTCCCAACTCTTTGAAAAAAATGACTGTGTAAGTGGGTTTCTGGTCGAGATACAGGGGGCTCCCAAAAGAAGATACCGTGGTAGGGCTCTAGTAGTGGTGTAGGTGGAGTTGGGATTCCATGTTCACAGGTAGAAAACTCGTGGTCGAGCAAAAGAGAAGTCCGGACTGCACAACGTCCCCAAAAATGACTAAGCAGTGCTTTGGGGGCAGTTGTCCTTCTTCGCAAGAAAAGACGGCCGAAGCGAGGTATCGTAATCAAGTCGCCCAAGATCGACTCAGCCCCGCTGACCTGGAGGTACTTGAGCACCCCCCACTCCCGGATGAACGCCTCCCAGCCCGTCGCGTCGCGCTTCCCGTCGGCCAGGACCTTCACCACCACCGCCGTCCCGCTACCAGACAGGCGGGGCTTGGCCCACCACAGCTCGCTGTCGTCGAGGGGGGACGTCGTCCAAGGACGCAGCAACCGGTATCTGGAGAGCGGCGCAGAAGGAGAAAATAAAGGGTTGTTCGAAATGATGGGAACGGCGACGGGCTGGTCTGCGAGCGCACTCTCTGCTGCACCCTCCCGAACGAAACGTACGTGGCTGCATGCTGTTAGATGTACAGCATGCCCATTGAGCTGTAAGTCAGCGCTGACTTGTAGCATAGTGGATGTGCTGTACATCTAGCAATGGTACATGCATCGTGGATACGATGTACACCTACAATACTTGCAGGTGGCGAGATGCCGCACAAGTGCTCTGAATGGCGCGGGAGGACTTGGGGGAGGAAAAGCCGCGGGGAAAGAACCACACACTACCTGACCTGTCCGACACGATCCTGTTCCACAACCGTCCTCCCTCCCCCTCGTCCTCCTGCCGCCCTCCTCTCCGCGGCGGAGGCCGCGAACCCGTTCCTAACCCCCCCAACCCCCCCATGAACTCCCCGCGGTACCACCGCCGGGGATCGCACTTCAGGCACGAACGACCGCCGTACGGGCCGGCCGTCGAGGGTCTCCGCTGATGATGACCTCGGGCCGGTGACGAAGGGGAAGACGGTTCTGTGCTGCTCTGGGCGGCCGGGAGCGCGGCGGGGCTGGAGCACGGACGGCCGTCTCGGTCCCACCTCAACGGTGAATTTCGGACCTTAGGGAAAAGAGACAGAAAAAAAACAGGCGGGTAGAACGAAGGCCGGTGTTGTCGTCGTCGTCGGCCGAATTGCTCGGAGAGGTGGGTGTACGATTGGTACGCGCGGGCCGGGGTGCACACGCCAATCCAAACCAGGGGTGTGTGGATAGAAGAACACGCCGCGGTGGCCTACCGGATGGGGGGGGGGGCGGTTAGGGTAGAGACAAGGTATGGTGGGTAGAGCGAAGACGGCTGTTGCCGTCGGTGGCCGATTCACTCAGAGAGGGCGGGTGCACGATTGGTCCGCGTGGGCCGGGGTGCACACATCAGTCTAAACCAGGGTGGCTCGATCGGCTCACTCTCTCTTTGCTCTCCAGCTCTCTCTGGGCCCTCCGCTTCTCCCTGTCGGCGGCCGCGGCCATCTTTTGCCGGCGAGGGGACGCGATCTCTTCCCGCCGCCTCTTCAGGTCGGAGACGCGCCGGGCGTACTGCTCCGCCGACCTCTGGGCCCAGAGCATCCGCCTCCGACCAACCACGTACTCGGGCACCTGCAAACAGGGGTACAACCCGGGAATCGATTGTGAGGGCAAGAACCTTAGACCACACGAACGCAAGAAATCTGAGGATCAGAGTTCCCCGTTTGTATGCATACACCTCTTGGAGGGCTCGAATGGAAACCTATATAAGAAAGAGAGACACCGTAGGTTGTGTAAGTCACCACACCCCGTGGACCGATTTTCAACGCTCGACTGAACTTAGCGATGAAGAGACTGCCAAGATGAAGTGATGTTCTTGGGGAGAGCTCTCTACGAGGCGGTTCCAACGTCTCCATTTCAGCGGTCCAGGGGGTGTGGTATCTTACGCAACCTCCTATGGCAGTTTGATGTGCCCGCAGGGTATCCAGAGTCAGCGCCGCAAACCGGAGATCACATGGCCTCTTCGGCGTAACGGCAATCGCGTCGGCGCCGAGGGCGTGTAGTACGGCGGCAGTGCTCGATCTCGCTCTATGCCCATCTATCCAGACCTATTATATAACAGCCGATGGCTTCGGTGCTAAAGCCACAGACAGAAAATAAATGATTGGGAAAGTCACAACAGTTTAGAGATGGCCGAGGATCCCTCCGTGTCACAAAAAAAAAAACTCAGGTTAAGACTCCTTGCAACCCCTTACTATCCTATTTCCTGCGCCTTCTGAGAGTCCTCGCGAACCCTCCACAATCGTGAATTACCCCCCATGCTTCCCGTTCCATCGAACACGAGTACGTGCCTCGTCTCCTGGGCAAAAGAAGCGCCGCTGCTGACCCGTCGCGGAAGCACCCCTACCCGCCCCGTCCCCGCCCCTCGCCCGGTCGTTTCTTTTTCTCGCTCTTCTCCCCGCAGCGCCTGTCGTTGCTCTTCTTCTCCCGCCTCGTTTCCCCGCGTGTCGTCGGCTCCTCTGGTTGGGTGACCTCCCGGAAATTCTGTCGCGTCCACCGCCGTGCCGGCGGCCGCCGCCGCCGCCCCTGCTCGACCGCTCACGTGCGGCGGCCAGGTTATCCGAAGCGCTTTCTTCTCCTTCCCCGGCGTTGTGTCGGCGGACGTGCAAGAACGACAGCTCCAATAGTTGGTTCGCTTCTTCTTCTTCTTCTTCTTCTTCTTGCAGCGCTGCTTGCGACACCGGACGCCCGGCAACGTCAGCGCGATCCCGAGAAGCGTGGGAGGCGTCGCCGCCGCCCCCGCCGCCCCCGCCGCCGCCGACGCTCGTTGGGCTGCCGTCGGTGGTCAGGGTTCCGAACCCCGAGGCTTCGGCGAGCAGCGTTTCCGCCGCCCCCGGAGAGGGTGGTCGGAGGAGCTGGTCTTGCCGTGGTGCAACGCCAGTGCGGGAGGCGTAGGCCACGCCGCCGCCTGTCGTGTCACCGCGGGGACCGGCAGCCTCGTTATCGGCCCCAGAGGAAGAATAGTGCGAGCTGTGGTCAAGACCCCCGCGGGCGTCGTAGGGAGAGGTAGAGGCTGCGCCGGTGCAGCTCCCGGCGACACGCTGGTTATGACGATCGTCGGCATCGAGAATGGCCATCTCTCGGTGGCAGCGCCAGCACTCCGTCGGGCTGGTGGCGAGCCCGCTGGTAACGGCGCCGTCTCTCCCGGCCCCGGCGACTACCGTCAGCGCGCTAACGCTACCTTCCTTCGCGTTGGCCACGGAGCTGCGCGGCGGCAGCGTGGAAAGCGAGTCTCCGACGTCGATTTGGTCCCGGTCGTGGTGAAGATGTCTGTCCGCTGCCGCTGTCTCTGCCGCCGCGACGCTCTTCTGGCCCCTGGAAGAAGCAGACGGGGCTTCCCGGGCATGGGCACTACCGCCGCTAATTCCCGTTGCTGTGCACGCTCGCAAGCACAAGGGGGTGGGCGGGAGAAGCGGAAAGAACTGAGGAATCAAGCCGGGAGAACCGGTGAGCATCGCTTCTACAACCCTACTGTAAAATTAGTTGGATATATTAACTTGAGAGGGGGTTTCGAGGGAGATTTCGACCGCGTCAGTACTGTACATCTGTGAGGTATCGAAAGACACGGGCCGTTCATGCCACAACCGAAAGCAAGAGAAGATTCCCTCGAAAGGACCTTTTCCAAGGGGAGCATTTTCCCGCGAACCCAAAGCCTTATCCCCTGAAAAGTATAAGTGAGATAGCGCTCGGAGGCGTGGTTTCCCGGGACCCTGAAATGAAACTTCGCCAACAAAAGAAGCACCACTGCTGCCGCTTTGTTGCGTTTGGGACTCGGGGTGCTACTCATACACCCATCAAAAGAGAGGTACTATAGCTGTTCCAATGCAGCCGTTCAACAACAACGCGCCTCTGGGCGAGTTGTTTGGATGGACAGGGATAACGCAAATTCACGGTATCGCTCAGCGATACAGGTGTTCGCCCTCCGATATGCACAGTCTTTGGGATTGGAATACGGCAACATACTAGCCGTCGGCGCCATTACCACTTGCAGGATAAGTCGGAAGTAACGAACGGCTGTTGGGTCGGTGCGAAAAATATCGGGTATTCTGGTCGACAACAATCGCTGGCCAACTTTCGACCGATTGCTCTCAGATACAGCAGACCAGAGGGACCGAATTGCACGTGCGATTGTAGTTTTTATTCCTTTCTGGGGAGTGTTTTTTTTGTGCTTGAGTCGCCACTCACCGCGCAAAGAAAAAAGCCAAGTCGACTACCTAAGTCGGGTGTCGCGTTTTGGGTTAAATGGCAAACCACACACATGCACAAGAAAATAAAACGTGCAGTAACAACAAAACAAGGGGGATGTCCTTTCCTATTTCGCGATAACCCCCGTTTGTCTTGGGTTTTTGTCGTAGAAAAATGTTGCTGTGACGAACGAAGAATCCAAACCATGTAAACCCACCGCAGACTTGATAGGATTAACCCAATTCACTTCGGCACACAAAAATCTCGTGATAATGCCTGCCTACGGACATAACTGCTACGGAGATAACTTCCATGTGTCCTAACCCCCACCCTGCTGTCCAATCAACACCTGTACGGGGTCGACTGGTACACGGCAAGCCCCGGCGGCAAGCAGACAGCTCCCTCGAACCGCCGGGAATTGCGGAGGAGCCGCTCCATGGCCTGAGAGAGAGGGGGGGAGGGGGGGGAGGGAGAGAGAGACACACACATAGAGAAAGACACAGAGAGAGACGCGCAGAGACACACAGAGAAAGAGAGAGGGGGAGAGAGAGAGCGACAGAGAGAGAGACAGAAGAGATAGAAGTCGACCACACCGGGGTCGCATCGATAAAGACGTCCGTGATCTTCCAGAGCACAAAGAGAAACAGAACTGAATGACGAACACGAGGAGGCGGGGGGGGCAAACAGCCTCTGCAAGGGACAAAAAAGAAGAGGGACCTGTGGGCGGGGAGGGCTCCAAAACACACTCTTGACGAAAACTCGCACCAACAAGCAGAGGCGAAACGAACCTGCGTCGCACGGGCTTGCTCAGCTCTAGCATCTGCTGCGCCATCTTCCCGAAATTATCCCGGAGGGCGGTCGACGCCCCGTGCTCCAGCAGCTCGGAAGCCGTCTCGTAATTCCTGGAGAGGTACGCGATGTGCAGGGCTACGGACGCAGGGGACGCGGACGGGGTGGGGAACGGTGTACGTGAGCAGGGAACTGGTTTGACAAACACGCCAGGCAGACGGAGGTAGCTGCTTATATCAGCATCAAGTAGCGCGGTATTGCTTGTCACGGAATGTGTCTTTAGCAGCTCGGGAGCCGGCATGACGCACATGCTGTGCGGGAAAGGAATGCGACGCGTATCAAGGCTGGAAGGAAAGGTGGAGGTGGCAACTCCGCGGGGAGGGCACCAAAATACGGGCGGGGGGGGGGGGGGGGGGGGGGGGGGG